ACAACCATACTCTACATTATCAGTAAAGAATATGAAAATCTAACACTGTGATTATTATTAAAAGCTATTTAGTATTTTAGGAATTTGGCATGACATACTTTTCTTGATTGTTTATTTCACTTAAAATCTTAATCTTTAGTCTTAATTAGTTGTAAAACAAGTTGTCCTTTATTTTTTCACATTGCTTGCATGAGAAATCTGAATATCAGCCTAACACACCACAGAAAAGCAGATGGAACAGTTTCTGGTCATTCAGCTGATTGTGACTGTTCAGAAAGACAAGACAGAGCCTCTGTTGGTGCATGAAGCTTTCCTCCTTTGTGTGGATCCTTTTGTGGGGGAATGGCCTGGTGTAAACCGTAAGGGTTTCCTGCTGATTCATGCTGCAGTCAAATAGCCTCAGCAGAGTTTCTGCCATGCTCGACCCTTTGAACACTAGAGAAAATGGAGCCTCTGAGCTTGTCAGCGTGCTGCCTGTCAAGCTGTAGCTACCCAATTTAAAAATTCAGATTTGTTATTCATAAGGCTCAAGACTGTCCAGTAAGAGTGTAAGCACATCAGCAACTCTCTCAATAATGTTGCAAAACTTTATATTTCTTTACATTTATTACTGGCCAAACATTTCTATGATGACCGTTAAATAAAAAGTTGCTGTTGCTATGTTAAAGTGTTCATTCATAACTGCGTGTCGTTTGTGTGTACGAATGCGTTTGATAAAAATCTGTCTGGCACATTTGAGTAGCTCTGAGACAGATAACACTACCTTGATTAATACACATGCGCACAAACACACACCTACACTCATACACATATGCTCAGGCAAGCACAGAATAATTATCAAGGTAATGAGCTTTCTCAGCAACTCAAATTATTATTGGTCCTAAGTGAGTTTTCACTTCTTCACCCAAGGCGCATTTCCACCAAGCTCCCTTATTGTTTATTCACCCAGGACGGATCATTGTGTACCACTTTCCACAGCCAAAATTTGGGACTCACTGCTTAGCATCACTATCATTGTTTTTTATATATTAAATCGGATGGATTTATCAATGCTTTATCTGGAGTTCAAGCCCAGCTTTTCCAGTTCAAAGTCAGATAATTATTGTTTCACCACAATGTACCCCCAAGGACTTGTGATTGACTAAAAAAAAAAGAGAGCTTGAATTACAACATCCTGAAAGGTTTTTATGGTTTTCAAAACATGTTGCCTATCCCTACTTTAACAGAGGGGCTGAGACTTTAATTTGAATCCTGATTCTTTCTGATAGCATTTCCCCCTTGAGAAGTATTAAAATCTTCCATGCAGTTTATTATCTCTCATCTGTGTGCAGTTTGAAGGTTTTCCTCATGTCTGCAGGAATTTCCTCTGTGCCCCTGTTTGCTCCCACAGTCCAAAGACATGCAATTTCGATAGACTGAAAGCTCTAAATTGCCTGTTGGTGTGAACGTGAGTGCGAATGCATTTGTCAACATGCATTAACAATTTCATAGACTAGCAACCTGGCCAGACTCTACCTTGTGCCTCCTTCTCAGTGTACGCTATAATAGGCTCCAGCTCCCATCACCTTTAATATCATAATTGATCTAGAAAATGGATGAATGTATGGGTCAGCTGTTAATATGTGGAGGTGAAATTTGCCCAGATTTGTTAAAGTCCCTCACAACATGGTTTCAAATTATAGCTTTTCTATCTTCTGTGAAATGTTCATGAATAAATAAGTAATGAAAAGGGCCCCACTACACTCATCATGTGTTGATTGATGAGTTTTTTTCATTATGCTGTTAATGTCAACAGAGCCATTAAAGGAGAGGAAATATGGCACTCAATGAATCCTGTCTAGAAATATATAAAGGACTATTCTGTTACCCAAAGACTTCCCATCTTTGCTACCAAAAGGCCAATCAACAGCTAAATAATATAAAAAAATTCAATGATGCAATTGCCATCACCATGCAGTTCAGAATCATTTATAATAGTTCATGACAGTTTCGACAGTTTGGTAGAAGATATTATTCCTTAATATATAAAATTATAGAGATATATCTTTCTTAGGTTACTGTGACATTATTTAGAATGGTCTTCATTCCTGAGTACTGATGTGGTGAGAGACTCAACTGTAAATGAAATTATAATGATGTTCAGGTAGTACATGTGTAATCAGCAGGGGAACAGAAGCTCAGAAAAAACTTATTTTGGGGCAAAGACACCAAACTTTTTAAGAGCTTTTAATAAGTTTCTCTTTTGATTCTATCCATGCAGTTTTTATGTCTCATGTTTATCTATTTAGGGACTTTGTCTTGTTAACATGAAATAACTGTCCAAAAAAGTCCTGCCACTTGTCAGCCTTCTTGCTAATGCAGTTATTCTGAACATCCTGTTTAGATAAATGGGAATAGATCCTGCATGTATACAATGTATAGATCATTGGCGTTCTGCAAGGCAAGCAGTGCTTGGCCTGTGAAATCTCAAAGAGACATCAGTTAAAGGGAAAGCAATCTCTCTTTTTGTATCTGTCTTGAACTTTCCACCATCCTATAAATTACTGCCATTTTGTTGATGTTGTAGGCTATTAGGAGGCTTGCCTCCCACCATTATTGGCTAATGCCATGTAGACAGAGTACATAAGCCTGCCACAACATAGCAGAAATTACTGTGAAAATTTATGACAACAACACAACTGACTCTCAGGTTTCCTGGTTTAACTGTTGCTCTTTTGAGGTAAGGGTGGGATAATTACCATCCTTGCCACTACAGAATTTTCTCAGATTTCTATTCAAGAGTCTCTCGGTGACATCTTTCTCTTAGTCTCTGTTAGTGCATGAAAATACGGTGAACTCTGACATCTTTTAGCTGAGCCCTATCAGCTCAAACCAATTAAAAGTAAGAACAGGCACTAAAATGTGAAAAAAATAAAGCTATTGCATGTGCTCAGACAGGACTACATGACTCATGGATGAGTAAATGTTATTTAAACTTTTTCCAGGGACTGGATTTGTTACCTTAAAAACTAAGAATGTTTGTTTTTGGCACAAACACATTTCTCTCATCAAAGTCTGCTGCTTAGTTCTGTCAAACTCTCTCTCGGGGTGCAGCATCAGGAGGAATGTGCAGTATCGAAAGCCAACGGCCAAAACGCAGTTAACAAAAGGGCAAATACTAAATGTTGCACATCAATTATTTAGACATGGAGATGAAGGCAAAGTGGCATTTTAGGTTTACTGTCATCACTGAGCTTATTAAAATGCAGTATTAAAAAAAAACCCTCTCAAAAACAACCCCTGAAACTCAATTATTTTCCTTTAAAGTCTCATAAATGTAACATTACATTACTCTCAGCTGTTCTTTAATTTTTACACTATGATGATTTCGCTGTGACCTCGTTTAACATAGAGGTCGTCCTGTCCCAGTACCGACCCACACTTTTATAACAGACGGGATAAATTTGCCCCCTTCAATCTCAACTCCCAATCTGCTCAGGGCAGGAAGGAAAGCAGAAAAAATGTGTCTAGTCTCGAGGCTTCAAACTATTTCCACTGATCTAGTCTGCATTTATTACCCATCAATATTTATGCGTTAACAAACAGCCTCCATGGTTCCCTGTTGAATAAGACATGCCACGGTATTGATCTTTGGGAAAAACGGCTGCGTCTACTTTAACGGAATAACTTAACTGATGGCCTCAGGTAAATGGGCTCATTCAAGTAAATGCACAAGGATGCACACTGCATTTTAAAAGCAACAAAAACTGAATTAACATGTTGATGTGCCACATTTTCATCTTCTGCACCACATGCAAAGGCAACTATTTAGACTCACATCTTACATAAAACGCTTACTATATAGTAGTCAGTGTCACCTCTGGAAAACCAGCCCAATTCCAAATCAGCATGGTTGTATTAATGAATTGATGTATCATTAAAAGCCTCAATAAAGACAAATACTTTGTGAATTGACTGATGAACATCTTTCAGTTCCCTTTCTCTTCACACATTTTTCCCTTCATGACTGTTGCTTGGTGATGGTGGTTGAAAGTGGGAAGCATGAGGGAGAGACCTGCAGTATGAATGAAAAGCACCTTTGATCTAGCAGAAATGTGCTCAGCTATCTTCATCCTCCACACGTTCTTTCACGTCTCTTTCTCTGCATGTTGCTGTAAAATGAATGAGCCCGGCTGTTAAGTCTGTGGGCTACAAGTTTCACTGTGCATTTGTGTCGGTAAAGTAGTGGTAACGACCCTCAACGAGACAATGGCTCCATTCAAACCTTCTGCTTTTTTTTTTATTAAGAGAATAAACAAGATGGACAGGAGGAGTGTAGTGAGAGGGCGACAGATTGAATTTATTTTAGAAGCCTGACCCAGTATATTAGAAATCAACCACTCACTGAACCTTGCCAAACAGAGTTTAGTCAGAGCTTAGCAACCGTAACCACGAACAGCCGGTTTGTCAACCTTTCAACACACGCTAAAAGCAGCCAGAGAAACAATTAAAATCCTCAGTTTAAATGGCTGCAGTTTAAAAAAATAATCTTTTCAAACAAACAAACAAAAAAATTCAGAACAGATTAAATCATTCGACAGAACAAAAAAACTGCAATTTTTTCTCATCGTGTCAACGTCCTTGGTTGTGGACCCAGAGTTTTGAGTATTTGTTGACATTCAATTCTTTGATAATTTATATATTGTAGAAATGTTTAGCTTATTTTAGAGTTTAGAAATGTGTTAACATAGAATGTAGAATTATTGTAGACATACTGACACTGCCCTCAATGTAATAAGGGCCTGACTGTGTCGTGAACTTAGGAGTAGATTGTAGGAGACCCCTCCCCCAGTTGAACTGTGAAAGGTCTCAACATTTGTAACTGGACAACTGTGGTCTGGAAGGGAGATGGGTTTTATGACCTCTAGGGAGTCACCTACACCCACAGTGTTTTAACTGTCACGCACACTCACTCACGTGCACACACATACATACAGGTATGCGTACACAGTCACACACGAGCACTCACATAGACACAGACACAGCGTTTGCAGCACACCGTGGGGGGGTTTTATGATGGGGACGCCTCTATAAAGCTGGCTGTAATTAACAAAGGGGTGAAGATTTTGCAGAGGGACACACCGGCCTCGTCTTCCCTTCTAGAAGTGCATGCTTAAATGAAGATGAATAAAGATGAATAAAAGTTTTGTGAAAATGACTACTGAGTTCCGGTGCCGTCTCTGGAAGTTTCGACGAATAAAAGAACCGGGGTGAAACTGATTTCGCAACAATATATATATTTTTTGATTGTCATGCTCCTTTGTATTTGTAGCCTTAAGTACTTTGTTTCAGTTCCCATGCATTTACATTTGTTTTCTGGCTTGAGGTTATTCTGTATACTTGTTATTTTTCTAGCCCTTTTCCTTATATACTTCTGTGTCAAGTGTGTCTTAGGGTTTTGTCTCTGTGTATAATCACTTTCTTTTTTCATTTTGATACTCTCCTGACTTCTGTGTCTCAATTCTAGGTTAGTCTACTTCCTGTCTCATTATCTTTGAATAGTTTCACCTGTTTCTTGTTCCCCAGCTGTTTCCACTCCACTCAGTAACCTTCAGTGTGTTCCTGTGACGTTTCCCTGTCTTTCAATTAAACCTCGTCATGTCATTCTGTTTCCATACCTGCCTGTTTCACTGTGTTTTTCTCTGTGCTGCCTGTATTTTATTGTTTTGTATCGTGGACTTTGGTTTACTTCTGTTTTGTGAAAATTTATGAATTTTACAAACAGTAAACTAAAAATACCTCAGGAGTTGGCTCAGTGCTCAAACCTGAGGATGTGTGCTTTGTGACAAATGGTACGACTGGTGTTTATAAACTCTGAGTGAGACAGCTCACCTGTCTGAAGCAGAGAATTAAATCTGATGGTAGAATCTCACTAATCCTGTCTCCATGTTAGAGCTAATTAATAGTTTGAAATATTTAATAAAGTCACAGCTGTTGTGCAACTCCTGTAAATACTTGCAACTCCCTCTACTCATATGGATCCCGCAGATGCGATTCTGCAGGTATTTAATGAATGTTGATAAGATTGATATTTCAGAAGTCGCATATTTTTATGTGAATCAATTATAAATTTTGTTTGTGGATCTCAATGTAACTCCCCATATGTAATCATTTATTCCTCACACACGCTTAAAAGAGATGAAAGCACTCATTTAAATAGAGGATTATGTAAGTTTCAAAAAACAAAAACATAATTTTGCTTTCAAGGTATTTTTCGTGTATGACCATGTGACTGCAGGTGTGTGACTGTGTACTTACAGCTATCCTCCTCTTCAGAAATAAGCTTGACCACGTAACAGGCGTAGATAAACCCCACCAACTAGAGACAAAGACAAAGGAAAAATGACAAAAAACAGAGGAAAATTACTCTTTTGTGCAACACAGAGAGAAAGCGGAAAACATGTGAGGGTGAACAAATAGTTGGAACAGACAGAGAAAACAGGTGTTGGTGGAAGTGGAGCAGAACAGCACTGTGGTATTTTGCTCCAAAATAGAGCACTGTGTGTGTGTGTGTGTGTGCAAAAACATATTTTCAATGACAACCACAAGGTTATCCCAAATTTTCATGGTTTTAGAGCTCTACAGACGCTGTTTTAATGCACAATCTATTAACAGAAAACACCAATGTGTCACAACTGTTGCTCTATATTGTCATGCTGTGGGTAAACATGTGCCGTCTATTGCCTCGGTCACAAGCAATGACTCTAGCTTACAAAGTCAAGGCAGATAATGCTACATTTGTGATTATCATCAGAATGAAAACCGTACACCACCGCTGTGGGGTAGGGCTTTGTAAGCGTACAACCAGAGGTGAACCTCGCAGTCTTCCATCTCATCATGTCATGTCCGTTTGAAGCCATTCACATACCTGGAAATAATGAGGGCCAAACAATCAAAAAAGGATGCTGCAGCTCTGTGCTGTGATTGTTACAGAGAGAAGCTTACATTAAACATGTGTGTGTCTGTGTGGGTTATGTTTAGACTGTGGTACAGCAATCCACACCAGCAAAACACCTTTTGCTATCTGATCTGCTTTCCCATTGGCTGTCTGTTTCCTAGGAGACCGATAGGAGGTGGCCGATTGGAGCAAAGATGCGGGAAGGTGCAGTCGATGTAAGGTCGGGATTTTAGTGACCTTATTACCCCGCGATGACAGAGGAGGAGAAGAGGATGGAGGGAAGAGATAAAACGTGGGATGAGAGGTAAAATACACGTGTGTTTGTATGAGGCATTCATTTAACCTATTACCCTGAATAAAGTGGACTTATTGCTGAAATATGGCTTTAAGTGTTGGGAAAATGACATTGACCTGGTTGGTATTCTATTGACTACATGGACGGATGCCCACACACACACACAAGCGCATAAACACTCACCTAGCTGCAAATGTGAGGAGCTACATTTGAGATTCAGTGTATATCTCAAGGTCCTGACCTCATTTACTCTAAATAATGTTCAGCTCCCAAAGCTCCCCTCCGTTTCTCACACTCTGACTATTCCTTCCAGCTTCTCTTCCTTTTTCTCTTGCCATTATACATCCCATTTCCTTCCACCTTGTACTCGCTCTCTCCCCTGCCTCACACAAGGAAACGAGTCAGGAATACAGTGTGTCGCTGCGCGGTAGATGAATTTACTTAAAGCTAAGCCACATACAGGAGGAGGAAACTGCTGCCGGTATCAGCGGGGGGATCAAAACTGATGAGAAAACAAATGTGCTTTGTGCAGCAGATATGCCATGAGAAATATCCACTGGTCAAAGATGCTGATAAGTTTACGTCCTACAACATCGCAGCTGTCGGTACTACTGACAGCATCATTTCAAAGATTAGGATGACCTCGACCTCGGGTTGCGTCTCCTGTCTGCCGCCAATCCACCTTGAAATAATTTCTATATTAGTATTCACTTGAAGCAGACTTTTTGCATTGCAAAGTCAAAATGTTGCTTAAAAGACTATGAAGAGTTTAGGGAGTTTTCCGCCAATGATCGGGAGCTTGTTCTGTCTTCTTCTGCAGGCTCATTGGCTCTGAAAATGACTTTTGGGTGCAGTTGTGTTAGCGCGACTGAACAGGGAGCGGAGAGCCGTGCCCGCCCCGCGATAGGGAACATTCTGATCAGCTGTGACGGAGTATGTTGCTCTGCACATCAATATCCTGTTAATATTCGCGAAACTCAAGCATTCCGTTTTTGGTGTTTGCTGCATATAAACATAATATCCTGTTTACAAGAAGTCTGATTATATCTCGTCCTGAAGTCAAGAAATCCAAATAAGATAGCTGGGGTTCACCAATATAAGCTATGGGGCTGTAAGCATGTGTGTTCCTTATCTTGTTTATTGCTGGAGTTCTGGGTGTGTCTATGTTTGATCCCTGCAGTTATATTTGGACTATCCTGCTCATGAACCCTGGAAAATAGCATATTTGATATTTTAGGTTTTGCAGGGCCAAACACTTCCAAACCACATTTTTAGTTTTGACTAAGATTTTGATTAAAATGTGCTGACAGCCATCCACATCTCTCTTTCTAGAAGGATCATGTCACTGCCATTCTCCTTGAAGACAATTTTGTCTTTTCATT